GCTAAATAAAAAACACATTCTTTTGTGCTGCTTTTGAAATTGCTATTTTCAAGATTCAAGGCTTACATTGTCATTCGTACATAGCTACAGTGTAGTTATGTCGATGAAAATCTTAGGTCACAGGCTCCTGCAACAGTTCAACACAATAAAACAGGTAAGATAGTGCAAGTAAATACAATCAAATATAATAGAAGTAGTGCCATAGGAGTCTATATCACGCTGATAATGTTTTATAATGTTCTTTCCCAAGATAGATTAATCTGAAAAGCTAGTCTATTCTTTGTAAAACTAGCATTTTAGAAAATGATGATACAGTAAGCATTATTACACTCAGTTTAAGAAATGTAACTGTTCTCGTTGTTTAAATGCTTTACTTTGGAATAATTTGGAGCTACAATTCAAATGTAACTTGTTCAGTGTAAGTATAATTTGAAGTCATTTCCAATGGTCGAGCAATTTATGTAACTTTCTGAAACCAAACGCCGACAACCAGATGCTTGAACACTAAAACAGGCTCATTAATATTCACGGCCACACATCACCGGCCTAAACCAGGCTTTTGTCCAGGAACCAAGCGCCCAGTTTCTATTGGCAACTTTTAAAGAAAGACCACAAATGAGACAACCCAGAGCATTCTCATTGGAGGAGAAAATGAGACTGTTGCACAATTTACAAACTGTGTGAGAGGACATGAGGAGTCTGAGGGAGGGAGCTGGTTTCACAACCTGTAGAAGCACACTCAACCCCTGACCTGTATTCTCTCCTGTCGCTCAGGTTTTGGCACCTTCTGTGCAGACCTGAACTCTGTGAGATAAGTTGTTATCTCTGTAGTTTGATTAATGAACTACGACTAAACCTGTACAATCATGTTTGCTGCACATTCATATCATCAGCAATTGTAACCAGGGCTGGACTGGCCATCTGGCACACCGGGCACTTTCCCGGTGGGCCGAAGTGCCTTTTGGGCCGACACAACTTAATATTATTTACATTTTTGTTCTGACGGCCCGTTGAGGTACATGTATTGTGGTAGTTTTGTGTGCACTCACTGATAGTAACACATCCTCTGGTCAGGAGGAGCCACTAATGTGTTTTTGTTTGACTGATAGAAAATGACGAAATAGACTGATGATTATTGTGGAAGGTTTTGTTTTATTTTCTCCCACAATGGATGGAAAAAATATATATTTATGTCCTATATCATTATTTACCTCTAGTATCAGACTTTGTTGGCCATGTGGTGGCAGAAGAAACTCGTTTTTCAACTCACTTAACTTTACAAAATGAACTCCTAAGGCAAAGCTGTTAAATTATCTTGACATGTTGTAAATTGCTCCATAATCTTTAATTGTTAATTAAAAACTCTTGAGCAATTGGTTTCACGAACATGATATGCTGGTATATCAAGCTGAGTGCATGCTTCCTGGCCTTTAGTGGTGCCTCCATTTCTGTCTGGTTTAGGGTTAGAGTTGTTGTTCCAACACCAACCACCCACCAAATTCCTTCATTTCTGAGTATGTCTGCCGAGGAAAAGTGCAGAGAGGATCTATCTTTTCTCCCAGCAGAATAATCATCTCTGCATCTTCCTGCCAGGCTAGGGCCATTTCAAGCAGAACATTTATTAGCTTTAGCTCCAACACTTTTTTGACAGGAATGTTGAGAGTGTTTCATAAATGTTGCAAATGGTGGATGCTCACAACATGTCTGGATTCCAGTTTTCATCTTTACTAAGTTCTGTTTCAACAAAGCAACAACAGGAGTAACTTGTCTTGCATGGGAAAACACATGTTCTATACAATATGAAAGAGGCTACTTTCCTGACACAAACATGTTGAAGAGTTACATTACATCTGTAAACTCTCTGGCCACCTGTGTGTATGAGGTGTTTATGTCCCTGCACGACCTCACCAGTATGGCCAACCCTGCAGCTTTGTTCTTCTGACTCTGCAGCTGATAACAGGAGGGCGTTATTGCGTGCTCTGGTAATGATTCCAAGATCAGTGTGTTCAGTTTTAGAGAAGTTTTTTATATTCCTGCATTCGCTCAGTGAAAACTTACAAGCATTTTGTATGTACAGGTTTATGTCCATTCTTAAATGGAAGGTTACAATAGTGCATCGCTCATTATAGTTTAAGAATTTCTTTCCATTAAATTAAAAAAACATATTGAAAACCAGAATTCCAGTCATTTATAATGCAATCTAGTAACTTGTCAGCTCCCAACAACAAAAAAGTCATAGATAGGATGTTCTTGAACAAAGCTCATCATAAAGGAAATTAGAACATAAAAGCTTAAAATGTGGCAAAAAATCGGGCTAGAAAAGGAGCAATCGTGACAAATGTGCTGACAATATATTGAAATGTGGCACTTTGAAAAATAAGAAGATATACATATTTTAACTCTGGTTGCACAGCCAAATAAAAACATTAATTGCAGATCAAGGAAAACAGTTTTTAGGAATTTGTCTTTTTTTCCAGTTATTTCCATATTTTGAGCAATTTGTCACAATTTGTCATTCACAATTTCATTTAATTAAATATCCAAACAAACACAACATCTGACTTTGAAGATGTACTGAAAGAAATTGTTGTGCAAATGTAGCTTTAATGTAGCTTCGAATCACGAGGTGATTCTACTGTACAACCAGATGGTGGTGCCAAAGCCTTTAAAACAGTAGATTGATGTGCTATTCACATGGTTATTCATCATAAATACAAGGGAAATTCCTGTGTAAAACTGTTTCATTTCAGTAAAACTGTAAGCACCAACTCTCCACCAACTAGCTTGCTGCTAACTAGCTACAGTAGCTCTATGTTAATATCACTTTAAGCTTGACCAATCCTATAAAACAGGGACACATCTGTGTGCAAAGGCTTAGCGTGACAACCATTGTGAGAATGAATCAGTTACATAATCCTATCAAGTTACCACACATTCATCATTACAGAGGTGAAATCCAGTTCATGAAAAATAATGACAGGCTGATATCTGTGGTCAGAGGTCAGTTCTATTCCACCCGGTGACAGTTATAATCATGCATGCTCCGACCTTTGTGTGAAAGGTATTTACACGCGTCATATTCATGCCAATGTGTAAGACTATAGTGTTTGCAGGTCAGAGATGGCTTTGCCTTTATTTTTGTGCTTTGTAAAAACAAATTGAAAAGTAGGACTGTGTACACAGAAAGCTGTGTGCACTCCTTCTTTCTTCCACCGCGATTACTCAAACAAGGTGCTGGTTTCTGGATTGGAACATAACTAATCGGCACAATGGTCATTCTACAGAAATGATCCACTCTGACTTTATATAACTTTATTATTTATAAATTACCAATTTAAGATCCCACTGCCAAATGTAATTTTATGGTAAATACTGTAAGTAACAGGTTTCACTAGATTACATTTTATATAAAGAATCCAGGCTACAAAATGACCCAGTGTCTTTATTACAATGAATATTTAATGTATTTATTGTCCTCATTATGTATACTTATTGGACTGTCATAAAACTAATGAATGGGACAGAAAGATAGCATGACAAACCTTAGATAATAGACATGGGAGAGGCGACTCGAAATTATTTCGAAACTCCCTCTGGAGGGATCTTTGGGGGGGGAAATGTGCAGACCATTATAGGAACATACAGGATACAGGAAGCAATAGGGCCCCTTTAATGTTGAGTTGGTACTGAAACGTTGAAATATGTGCAATTTAAATTAAAGACTTGAAATGTTGATGATGTTTTAGTTAATCTACTACTCCGACAGAAAGGGTGGCAGGCACTGCATGAAATCAAAGGTCTATTGTGGCATTTAGTAGAAAATAAATAATAAATAGTAAGGAGATCCCTTCACACTGAATTGATACTGCCTCAGTGCTGCAATCAGCAACATTTTGTTCTGAACGGCTCTTCTTGTGTTTCATTGTCTCACGTTTATATTTAGCCTGCAGTGCCTCAGTAACGCAAGTCTTCAATCACTGGACTTTTGTCACACAGCCACTAACGTTTAAACATGAAGAGGGTTTATATTGAGTACAAGCAGCCGATTATATAAAATAGATTTGTGGTGCAGGATGTTACCTATAGAGGTTTAAATATTACCTCATTAACAAGTTTATCTGTACACTTCATCTGCAAGGACAAGTCGATTGAAATAAACAAAGTCGCCAACTATTTTAATAATTGAAAATACTGCTTTCATATAGATACTTATTTGTAGTATCTGTTTTATTTCACATTAAATGTACTTCCTTTAATCGTGCACTCACAACACAACTTATAACCTTGATCTTTGAAAAACTGGACATTGTTCTCCATATTCACCATGTTATGACATTTTATAGACCAAACTATTAATCAAGAAAAACGATTGGAGCCGGTGTGACGGATGATAACAATAGTTAATTACAAGCCTACTGCAAACAATTTGTAATTTGAGGTCCTCTTTGTAAAATGAGGTGTTTGGCTGCAACCACATGATGGTGCCAGAGTCACATTAATCCCTACACTCAGTCTCGTCCACGGTAGAAAATGTGATTGCCTGGTTTGAACAGCCATCAGCACAATTTGACCTTTTGCAGTCGGCACTGTGTGGTCAGAAGTGCTGTGTCAGCCAGTTCTCAAATGTATAAAGATCGCTCACCATCGTGTTTTTTAGTGCCATGATTGAAACAGCCCTTGAATTCATTAATGTGTAGCGAAAGAAAAAAGTTGTGTAAGCATAGTAGATCATAAGAAACATCTCACAGTGTGCAAGGCAATCATGGTAACGTTTACTCTGATCTAGTAACTCATCACTAAACCACTATGACACAGTGAAAACGATTAATTTCTAAAGCGAGATTACACGTTTAAAGGGTTAAAAAAATGGGGATGCGTACTGAACAAAAGCTGATAACAGTGACATCAAGCCTCTTACTTGTCTCACAGACGGAGGGAGTGAGACTTCAGAGGTAGGTCTTTGGTCTGACTCTCTGCACGGATGCGCGCCGACCTTGGAGTCTCCAGACGCGCAGCGCAGGATTTTGCGCACTGAAATCAAGTCGAGCTGAAGAGAGCGCACGGCTGCCGGACTGACTGCAGTCCTGACACCCGGATCGGGTCTCACTTGGCTTTACTTTACCGCGCACCACGTCAATGTATTAACATTACTCGGGAGTAGGAGGAAACATAGTCCTCGGTTTATTTCGGTTTGGGCTCAATTCGCAACTTAGAGGAGTCGTTGTTTGCAGAGAAATCCAAGTGTCCCAGCTGCTAAAGCGAAACTCACTGAACATCTTAACAGACGGAGACGTTTTAGAGGATTTTAAGACTCTTTCCAGGCAATATTGAACAAGGATGATTGCAACCGCCTTACACAATTAAGTGAGGTATTGCATTTCAGGAAAAAACGGTAAGGAAAACTTTTTTATCTTAAAGATAAGATTCAACAATGTTTGAGGTCATCCCACATTTTAATATTTGGGTTATAAGTGAATTCACGTCGTGCATTTTTGTCACTTTTCTCGCAGGTGATCACAGCAATGCTACAACGGCATGTGCGTCTGCCCCTCTCCAAATCTCCCAGTGAGGATTTAAACGCCGCTCATTTTGAATAAGTCGAGAAGTCACCGAAGATGAGAGCTCTGCAAACATTCCTGTTTCTGTTCCTCCTGCACCAGGTGAGCTTTGAGATTGCTGAATGACAATACACAGAGTTTGTAGACGTCTGTGACTAAGAAGGTTATAAAGAGACAATAATTAGCTTTGTGCAGATTTTGTAATCATTATTTTATAAAGCTGCTATAGGTAGGCTATTTGTTCGTCTCACTCTCAGGTTTATATATATGTAGACATATTTCCATGTATGCGGTGTATATTTTTGTTTTAATTGTAAGTAACTGTAGATGTGCTTTACATAGCTCATGCAATGTAATATTTATTAATCACCATATGGCCAAATTACATTTCAATAAATTCCTGACGTCAAATGTTCGGTCATTCTGCCATCAGCAGAAAATATGTTGTCTGACATGAACTCCTCATTCATAGGCTTGTTTTGTGTTGGATGAATTTATTGAATACATTTACCTAAAACAATATTTTAATAACATATTCATTACCTCTCTACAATTAAAAGGATATAATAGTTTCTGTAGCAAATATTACAAATATTTCAGAAACACAAATGAGTTTCTGAAATACTGGATTCAAATTTATTTATTTCATTTTCAAGACTTTTTCATACTGTTATACCATAAGCAGTTAATTTGCCTAATAGCATCTGAATGAACTTTGGCTTAGTGGGAATTTTTACTTAGGCAACATTTAAATATAGAAAACATATTTGTAAAAAAACATTCACATTGCAGGTTAATTTTAGCTTAGTGTCATCATTCTGCAGTATTCTTAATTGAGACGTGGAGGTATATAGTTTTAAAATCAATTCACTTTTCACTGAAAATGAAATAACATTTATTAACATGTCTGCTCACAGAGTTTTTATTTTTTTACCATTGAGAGTTGTATATTTATTATGTTATTCGTTCACCTCTGTTATTTGGCTTATGGCTCAACAAAACCAACTGCCAATTCATTTATGGAGCTTTATTGCATAAATGTTTGTGGTTGGCAAATCATTTTCATTTATTTTGCCTTCAGGCTTGAACAAAGTTCGACCTCTGTGTTGAACCCTGGACACCCGTGAAATGTCTTGAGCCATACTAAAATTGATGCCAGAATACAAACAATAATAAAATGACAACCTAGAATTTAAGTAAAAATGGGAGAACCCACATGTTTTCAAAGCCTGCGCTGTTCCTCCTTTAGGTATTCTACAATGTGATCTAATCAAAAGTCCCTATGAATTTGTGCGACCTTATTAGTGTTTACCAAAGATTGATTGCCTTTAAGCTCCTTCACAGACTCTTTCTGTCGTCTAATTCTGTTATTATTGCAGGAATAAACTCTCCAAAAGGATCAAAAGCCTTAGGGAAATATGACGGTCTTATCCTAAAGGCAGCTGAATAAAGTGTGTAGGCTTTATCATGATCATCCTTTGCTCCACGGACTCTTGCCGTGATCAGACCTGAGCAGAAAATGACATTTGATTGAAGGCGTTCTTCACATCTTTGCTATCGTCAAAGAGGGCTTCTTTAAAGATAGCCCTGAACTGTGCCGATGCAGCGCCAGAGTGCTGTTGTAATCAGCCATATGCCTTTTGGGAGCTCTGCCTCCAGAGAGGGAGACAGGCTGCCTCCCTGGAGAGGTTCTCTTCATATGCCTCAGCAGCTCCCCTCCCAGAAGACCCACCACTGTCTGACTGGGGACAAATTGGCCGTTATCAATATTCCCACACCTTCAAAGAGAGTAGAACATACCGGGATAAATGCATTAAATATGCACCAAACTTCCTTACCTGCTAAACCTTCTTAGCATTTGCTTTATAGGATAGTTTCCTGTAAGGATTTGGGACATTTGGCAAAGTTTCATGGCTAGATTTCAAGCCAAGGCATCCCATGGTGCACCTCAGACAACTGAAACTGAAGGATTTGTATTGTTCTAACTAGAGGCTTCACAGTCTGTTGCATATTCGTGGCTGCAACATCCAAAGCAAGAACCCTTCACACAACAATTGTTTTTCCCTCTGGTCTCTACATACAGAAAAACATCCAGAACATGAATCAAATGGTGAAAATGTAACCCCAGCCTTAGCATCTGTGCCGTACCCCAGGGACAAATAAGAGGGTCAAAGCCATCCTGGGAGAATCCATTCTTCCCCATGACATCTGCTGCAGTTATCCTGTGTGCAATGACAGCAGAACAATGTAGACGAAGATAAAAACATACTTGAGAGCCCTGCTCCCTGCCTTCTTCCTCTGCCCTGCAGATTGCATGCAGGGAACCTTTTTTTGTTGCTCCGGATTAAGAACGAGGAGACGTTGACAAAGTCTATTACGCCTTTGTATCTTATTGCCGTGGTTGGAGCTCTTTGGTAATGTTATGCAAAGCGTCCATGTGGCCCGTGCCAGGAAGAATCTGCAGTGTCAAATGCATATTCCCCCCCTACGTTTCAGTGAACGCCGCCCAGGGTCGCACTGAGAGGGGGCCGTGGCCAGCATCCTGTTAGAAGGGTGTGACACATCAAAGAGACAAAGCTTAGCTGGTTCCTCGTAAGCTGAACATGTCTCGTCCTCTGGATCCGCTGCTTGCTCGTAGTTCAATCGTTGCAACTTTGATGTGCACTGATTTAAGGGATTACAAGTCATTTCCCAAAGGATTTAGCCCTCATTTCCACAGTTATTTCTTCATTTATTAACAAGTAGCTGCTTGATTATTTATCTGTTCACCAATCAATGAAAGTGGAAAACCATTAGAAGAAGAAGGGGTTTGGTTTTGGCCAATAATATATTTTGAAGAATCTGCCTTGTTTTAGTTTTTTCCCCCCCGCTTGTGTTTTTTCTCTGCAGTGCTGGTGAGACAGTGGGGCTCTATTCAAAGTCGGAAAAGCTCCGGCAAGGACAACAGTTTTATCCCTGTCTTCATAACAAAACACAAATTCTACATACATTCCCTCTCTAAGGGCTCTTTAACCCTTTTCCCCCTTCCCCACGCTCAATTAGGTTGGCTTTTATTATTTATTTATTGTATATTTAAAGGCAACTAACACTGGGAAGAGTAATAAAATGTACAGTGGGGGGATTAGGAGCAGCTCTTTAATCTCACGCTTCTGATAATACTGCATGGGCTGATTGATTAGTTTTTCAGGAAGCTTATGTCAGAAAAACCTAATCCGTCTTTGGATTGTGCCAGCCTTGTAAGGTTTTCCGTGCTGCCACTTTATCATGGCGGCGAATTACAGAGCTGCTGGGCTGTGATAAGGTCCTCGTCTCTTTTACAGACCCCGTCGCCCAACCCCCTGCACCCCCTCCTCTCCCTTTTCCCTCTGGACAATAAAAAATGTGTTTATATTCTTCACATCCCTGCTCTGCCTGGTCTTCACATCAACCTCTCCCAGGATTTGCCTTGTAAGAAAGAGAGCAAAAAGAAAAAAAGAAAAAACTTAAGTCTTCAAAAACCCACCAGAGAAATTGGGTAGGTAGAGAGGAAGAAATGTGCGAGAAAAATGTCAGGCGGGCCGACAGACATTTCTGTGGAAGTGATTAAACATGGATTGACGGAGTGAAGGAGGGCTTGTATGCATGTGCTGCCTTCCAGGAATCATTTTGAGAGCTTTTATGGTGCTGATGTGTATCTGTGCTCATATTGGGGTCACAATCTTTCTGGCCAGAAGGCTTGACTAGATAATCCCTCATAAACAATACTGTCTGTGGCATTTGCAGTCCTCGGCCTGCATGTTGTCTCGGACCTCTAAAGGAAAGGTTGCCATTTGTGCGTGGTAAATCCCTCAAATGTGTCTCGCAGGCACTACAGGTTGTATTGACTGCATGTATTGAGCCCCCGCAACCTATTCCTTTTCCAATCATCAATCATAGTTTTGTGTGTACTGGCAATAAATCCTTGATAAAGGTCCCGAAATGACAAGAAAGAAAGTCCCAAATGATTGAAAGGTGTGACGCAATTGCCCTTTTGCATTGACGATAACCATAATCTGGCTGCTGGATGGACCATTAAAGACTTAACTCAAACAATTATGAGCAGTGTGATTACTCCCCCCCCTCCCCCCATGAGCTGCTCTCATGATATGATGAAGTGAAGTTCTGAGCGGCTCTTTAACAGCAACTCGCCCCCACTGCGGTGCAGGAATCATTATGTTTAATATGATTTTGAGTTTCCTGATCTTGGTCCACAGCTATGAATTTTTATGGCCGATGTGCAGCCCGAGGCAGCGTGAGAGCTGGAGGCTCCGCTACCTTAAAGCATTGTCATTACCGCTCTGCAGGCTCAGAAACATCCAGCTATCTCTGAAGCACAACCGCGCTGTATCCACTGCTGTGCTGCAACAACAACAAAGGGCGGAGATCACTTCACATACAGCAGGGGTTTTGACTGTTTCATGTCTGGCGATGAGGAATCTGGGTGTCACTTTTCTTCTTGTCGTAAATCAAAAGCTGCAACAGTTTTACAGCTGTAAGTTCTACATTTGTGTTTGACTCAGGATCAGCTGCGTTTTCTCTAGAAGCAAAGTTGCTGCCAGTTCCCCAGCACTCTGACATGTAAAGTTCTTAATTGCCACCTTGTTTGGTACTTTGAAGGCAATCTCACTGCATGTCAGAGCTGGGGAAAGTGATTGACCTCGTTAATTAAAACGGCGTCGCTTTCCTGTTAAAGGCAAGGTGCGACAGTTCTGGAATAAGTAGAATAAATCTCCTTTCTGATTATTCTCACTTTTGCATTTCTTTCCTTTGCCTCTGGGCTATGAGGCCTTTCCTTTTCAGCTTGTCATTTCCAGCCCTAACAAAGCACTGTCAGCCCCCCCTCTGTCTTTGTATATTTCTTGTGAAGTACCTATCTTCAGAGCTACTCTGAGAGAAAGGAAAGCAAACGTCTTCCCCACTCCCGTTTCTTCTTCAAAGGGAGCCGTTTCTGTGAAATCAGCCGAGGCGCAATCTGCTTTGAGAACAGAAACATTTGCTCTGTCAAATTTAGTGGACGTACGTTTGAGCAAATCAAGTGAAAACATTTTTGAATAAAACACCCCGTATTATTCGCAGCATGGATT